TGGGATGTTCTTTGGAGAGGTCGGTGTGGATTCAATGGGCCGAATGGCCTGCTTCCACACTGTAGGGATTCTTTGATTCTATGAAATGTCTATCATATCGCTACTATCTGATCCACTTCTAGTTCCCATGTAACAGAGCTCAGCAGAAGTTACATCTCAGGTGGTGGACACATGGGAACACCCCCATTTACAGGCGTCCCTTCAAGTCACTCACTATCCTGACTTGGAAACATATCGCCATTCCTTCAGTGTCACTGGGTCAAAATCCTGAAATTTCCTCCCTAAAGGCATGGTGGTTCTACCTACAGCACATGGACTGCAGCAGTTCAAGAAGGTATATGGAGTTGGGCCATAGGTCAGCCATGATCCCATTGAATGGTGGAACAGGCTTGAGGAGCTGAATGGCCTCCTCCTGTCCCTTTTTCTTGTCAGCTATGAAAACCCTGCTGAAGGTATAAAACGTCTTCCTCAGGAGGCTAAGGAAATTTGGCATGGCCATAAGGACACTTACCAACTTTTACGGATACACCATAGACAACATACGATCTGGATGCATCATGGCTTAATGTAGCAACTGCTCTGCCCAGACTGTAAGAAACTACAGAGGGTTGTGAACACAGCCCAGTCCATCACACAAACCAGCCTTCCATCCATCGACACCAGCTACACTTCTCATTGCCACGGGAGGGCTGCCAACATCATCAAAGACCCCTCCAACCCGGTTATAATCTCTTCCAATCTCTTCCATCAGGCAGAAGATGCAAAAGCTTAAACACACGTACCAACAGGTTCAAGAACAGCTTCTTCCCCGCTGTTATTAGACTTTGAAATGGACCTCTCAAATTTCAAATCTAGTGTTGATCTTGCTTTGTGCATCTTCTCTGCAACCGTAACTTTATATTCCTCGCTCTGTCCAATCACCCTATGATCTTTGTATGTTATGAGCTGCCTGCACTGCACGCAAAACAAAACTTTTCACTGCACCTAGGTACATGTGACAATAATAAATCATATCAAATCAAATCAAATCATCTAGATTGCTACGTCTAGAGCTAATAATGACGGCAGAGCCAATCAGGATTCACAGCTGGGTTTGTTCATTAAAAAAAACTCCAGGTCCTTCCTATTCAATCATATCTGATAACAAATATCACATACTCACTGTGCAAGGCAGATACTTAGTATCAAATGCTTTATAACAAACTTTTCCTTTCTGTCATATTCCATATTTAGAATATTGGAGGATCATGGGATTGCTCACATGTGATCTCAAAAATAGTCGCCAGTTTGTGACCTCCGGTTTCCACACTGCCCGGTTAAGGTCATTAGTCTAAGTTGGCAAACCCAAGCAATTTGCCGTTACCCTTAAACCGGCAGAATTAAATAATGATAATGATAAGGGATTGTTATTTTACTTCAGAGACTTCCTTCCTCTCTCTTTTGTAGACTGCTTCACATCCAGAAGAAACAAAAGACTCCATCTTCCTCTCCTTCTTAGGCAGGTGCCCCTGGATCTAGGATGACCACTTCCACTCAGGCTCAATCACACAGAGGGGTGTATTTTGGAACTATGTATTGTTTAAAGGACGTTGTGTACTCTGCAATGTCTCAACATCACCTCTGCACATCCCTGACAAAGTTTCCTCATGTATTTGGTGCCTTCCTAAATGAGCTTCCTCCATTCTGATTGGTCACAAGTTAGGATCTCTCAGGGAGACTTTGAGGGCATTGCTGAGTTGTTTCCATTGGGAATCTCCAAACACAATCTACTTTGGGATCAATAAATGGACTGATAGGGTTAGAAGATAAGGATTGAGCAGAGGCTTGTGTGCAAAGTAAGTACCAGCATGGACCAGCTGGGCCATGCTGTATGTTTTACATAAAATACAGAGTAAAACTCCATCTACACTGTCCCCATCAAACACTCCCAGAACAGGGACAGCACAGGGTTAGATATAGAGTAAAGCTCCCTCTACCCTGTTCCCCATCAAACACTCCCAGGGCAGGGACAGCACAGGGTTAGATACAGAGTAAAGCTCCCTCTACACTGTCCACCATCAAACACTCCCAGAACGGGGGCAGCACAGGGTTAGACACAGAGTAAAGCTTCCTCTATACTAGCCCCCATCAAACACTCCCAGAACAGGGACAGCAGAGGGTTAGTTACAGAACAAAGCTCCCTCTATATTGTCCCCTATCAAACACTCTCAGGGCAGGGACAGTACAGTGTTAGATACAGAGTAAAGGTCACTGTATACTGTTCACATCAAACACTCCCTGGGACAGTGCAGGGAGAGTATGTAATAGTGACAGAGCAAAGTTTAATTCTGTGTCACTGTGACCCGTGCATCATTAAAATGAAACAAATAGGAAAATATATTCCAAGGCAAGATGATGGAAGCTGGAATAATAAACAGAGAATGCTGGAAATATCCAGCAGGTAAGACAATGCCTGTGGAAAACATTGAAAGATGTGACGCATTTGAGCAAGGAGGAGTGTGGGGAAATGGCAGAGGGGATGGACGACAAAGGAGAAGGTTACGATGGGGTGGAATGTAGCAGATAGGAGTTTAGACACAGAGTAAAGCTCTCTCTGCATTGTCCCCATCAAACATTGCCAGGACAGGGAGAGCATAGGGTTAGATAAGGAATAGTCCTGGGGCAGATCAGATGTCATCTTGTTGAATATTACAGCAGGCTTGCTGAGCCAAGTGGTCTAATTTTGTTCCTAATTCTTATGATCTCATGGAAAGTAAAGAAACAAAAACATTGTCCTGAAATTGCAGTGTGTGCCATCAGCAGATTTGTTCCCAATACTTGTTGGAAAATTTGGCAGCAGTGATTTTTTTCTTCTTCATTCTTTTATGGGATGAGGGCATCATTGGCAAGGCCTGAAGACCATCTGTAATCACCTTTCCAATGGGTCAGGAGTCACATCTACGCCAGACCAGGTAAAGATTGCAAATTTCCTTCCTAAAAGATATCTGTGGACCAGACAGGCTTTTGTAACAAAATTGATGACAGTGTTATGGTCACTGTAAGCAACCACATATTTTAATTTCCTTTTGGGCTCTAAAATGGTAAATGGAATTTGGACTGTTATATAGTTAAAAATACCAGGAAAAGAATTGCAATTAAAAGACTAACTGCCATGTGTGATGTTCATTTTAGTTTCACAAAAGTGGCCTAAATTTTGCAGCAGTGAGGTAGATATTTTAGAAGAGTGTTGATCATAGAATCTCTACAGTGTGGAAACAGGCCCTTCGGCTCAACAAGTCCACACCAATCCTCAGAGCATCCCACCCAGATCCATCCCCCATAACCCACCTACTCCACACATCCCTGAACACTATAGGCAATTTAGCATGGCCAATCTACCTACCCTGCACATCTTTGGACTGTGGGAGGAAACTGGAGCACCTGGAGGAAACCCACACAGACACAGGGGGAATGTGCAAACTCCACACAGACAGTTGCCTGAGGGTAGAATTGAACCTGGTCCCTGGCGCTGTGAGGCAGCAGTGCTAACCACTGAGCCACCCTTTTGTCAGAGTCTTTGAGTTTACGAAATACTGCCTAACAACAGCCTTTGGATTGATCCAGCAGCTACAGTTTGTTACTGACCTGCAAGTGCAGTGCACTCAGAGATATCCAGAAGCCAAGAGTCCGAATGCAAAAAAGGACCTAGATCTAGCCAATTGGCTACTGAATCGAAGCTCGACCATCACTTTGCAGATCATATCATGTTGCTATCATTTGAAAAAGTCAAAAGTACTATCAGAAGCAAGTCATTCCACCCTTGTGGCTTGGAACTTTGAACTACTGAATTTGTTCTCCCTGTCTGCATTTTTCTACCCATAACATTTGAGTCAAACCATTTGTTTTTGTCTGTCTTACTTTGTAAACGAATGTGCACTTGTGGTTTTTTATGTGGGTACAGCTTAAGTTGCTTTGTAATAATGAGTAAATCATTTTTGTTAACCATGTATTAAAGAATAAGTTTGGTTACAATAAACAGTTACTTGCTTACTAACAATGAAACCTGGTGTGAATTACTTTTGTCCTGTGTAGCAGTCAGTTAGGAAAATTGTGGAAATTGATCACTTTCTGGTTTCGCTAGGTAGTTACACACTTGTGATGGCTTGTGGAATAGTGGGGCTCAGTTACTGGCACACTGTTCCCAACTGAGCCATGATATCACCTCACTGATGATGAGCTCAGCTCAAAGGAACAAAGCGGTGTTTTCTCCAAATATCTTCTACTTTTTAAGAAAGACAGACTCAGAAAACACAACTCTGCAGGTGCGGAGAGGGAGAGAGAAAGAGAAACATTTTTGACAACACTTTTGTCAGAAATACCTCAAATTTTGTTTTGATTTATTTATTATGGGTACCCGCCCCCCGACCTCACTGCCACCGCCACCAACACCCCCCACCTCCCCCCCACCACCACCACCACCATTAACTTGCAATGCAAATTAGGAACTTTGCTCAAAAAAATTTTGAAACAGCAGGACCACTCTGAGAGAAGCAGTGGGGACATCAACAATTGTAGCCATCCAACACATGGGCCCATACACCATCCCTCCATTACTGGAGTGACCAGGGGAGGCAATGACCCAGTGGTATTATTGCTGGACTGTTAGCCAGAGACCCAGATAATGTTCTGGGGACCTGGGTTCAAATCCTGCCATGGCAGATGGTGGAATTTGAATTCAATAAATATCTGGAATTAACAATCTAATGATGATGTTGAATCCATTGCCGATTGTTGGAAAAACCCATCTGGTTCACTAATGTCCTGTAGGTCTGGCCTACATGTGACTACAGGCCCACAGCAATATGGTTTTAACTGCCCTCTGGGCAATAAATGCTGCCTAGCCAGCAACGCCCTCATCCCATGAATGAATAAATAAAAAAATAATTACTCAACATAGCTCATGAGAGAAATTCACGTATTTTCTGTCAACCTGTTTGGCAATGCCAGAGCTCAGTACTCACACTGTTGCGAAGGGTTGAGGCACCGAGCCATCACTGAGGGCTGGTATATCTGTCGCTCTATGCAGGATTATGCTAATAGATTCCTTGCCAGGCCTTGAAACGTGCTCCTCATTGGCTAGGGAAGACAGCGTTGCTTCAGTCATTCCAGGTGGTGTTTCTATGACCTAGATCAAACAGAACAGCATTAAACCCCTTAGGATATGGACATGTGCCCTTCACTCCCATCCCAGCATCACTGCTCCCTTTTACTAGGTCATCATGGCGGGTCATTCAGCCTATCGAATCCATTCCAATTCTCTGCAGAGTCAGAAACAGAAATTGCTGGAAAAGCACAGCAGGACTGGCAGCATCTGTGGAGAGAGATCAGAGTTAACGTTTGGCATTCCATGACCCTTCTGCAGAACTGACACTGCAGAGTCAAATTTCCTTTGGAAAGTAAAACAAAGTTGCTGGAAAAGCTCAGCAGGTCTGGCAGCATCTGTGAAGGTAAAAACAGAGTTAACGTTTCGGGTCCAGTGACCCTTCCTCAGAACTGAGCTTTTCCAGCAACTTCTCTTTTTGTTCCTGATTAACAGCATCCGCAGTTCTTTCGGGTTTCCTTTGGAAATTATTCATTGTCTCTGCTGCCTCGTTGTAGACAGCAAGATCTATATCATTCACTGCAGAAAAACATTGTTCCTCAGATTTCCCAGAATTTTACGTCTGTGTTCATCAGTCCTTGTATTATCAGCTAGTGGGAACAGTTATTTTCTTTTTGTCCAGCTTATGTATATCTGTCATAATCCTGAACACCTCTATCTGATCTCCCTCTTTGGCTAATGCTCCAAGGTAAACAACCCCAGCTTCTCTACAATAACCTTGTAGACAAATACGCCAAGGCAAAATTGATATGAACAACAAACTTATTGAACCACAGGAGAACTCCACAGTTGGACACCAAACCCTTCTGTCTATTTAAAAACAGATGCTTACAGTCTGGCCATTGAAATTGTAATTCAGCTCTGAGTGAAATCTTCAAGACTACCCTCCATATTTAAAAAAGGACTTAGCTTCCTTGCTGGGTCAGAATGGGGCACAGAGGAACCAGAAAGGATAAAAGATTGGTCTTTTTTAACTACCTCCCTCAAGTTTCCAACTTCATGCGCACCCTATCCAAATCTTTCAACATTTAATTTCTTCATCTCTGATACACAGCAACAGTACTGTCTACAAGATGCAGTGTAGCAACTCAACAAGTTCCCTCCAAACCTGCCAATGCTACCATCAAGAAGGACAAGGGCAGCAGATACATGGGAACACCGCCATCTGTAAATTCCCTCCAAACCACATACCATCCTGACTTGGAAATATATCGCCGTTCCTTCACTGTTGCTGGGTGAAAATCTTCAAACTCTGGCCCAAACAGCACAGTGGGGTGGCACTGTGGCTCAGTGGCTCAGTGGTTAGCACTGCTGCCTCACAGCGACGGGGACCTGGGTTCGATTCCAGCCTCGGGTGACTGTCTGTGCGGAGTTTGCACATTCTCCCTGTGTCTGCGTGGGTTTCCTCCGGGTGCTCCAGTTTCCTCCCACAGTGCAAAGATGTGCACGTTGGGCTGAATTGACCATGCTAAATTGTCCATAATGTTCAGGGTTGTGCAGGTTAGCTCGATTAACCATGGGAAATGCAGGGTTACAGGGATACAGTAGCAGGGGTGGGGGTTAGGTCTGGGTGGGATACTCCTCGCAGGGTCAGTGTGGACTCGATGGGCCACATGGTCAACTTTCACACTGTCGGGATTCTATGAACAGCACAGTGTATGCTACCTACAGCACAGGGACTGTAGTAGTCTTAGAAGGTAGCTCATTGCGAGCTCCTGAAGGGTAATGAGGAGATGGGCAATAAATCTTGGCCCAGGTACTTAAGACCATAAGAAGCAGGAACAGGAGTAGGCCATTCAGCCCATCAGCCTACTCTGCCATTAAATAGGATTTGTCATTCCTCAATCCACTTTCCTGACCTTTCCCTGTAATCCTCGATTCCCCTGCAGATAAAGAATCCATCTCAGCCTTCAATACACACAAGGACTATGCCCCATTAAAATCTCATGAAAAAATTTAAAAAACAGTTTCTGCTAGGGAAAGGCATTTTAAAAACAGGACCAAAGCATCTACAATATTGACAGAAGGTGTTCACTACCAGTAAAAGAAGAGGATTTTCATTGAAGATTATCTAGTTGCATTAATTTGTTTTCTTTATTCTTGAGCCCATGTCCCCAGCGCATTTGCCTTGGTCATAGAGTCATAGGGCTGCACAACATGAAAACAGACCCTTCAGTCCAACTCATCCATGCCGACCAGATATCCTAAATTAATCCAATCCCATCTGCCAGCATGTGGCCCATATCTCTCTAAATCCTTCCTATTTATATACCCATCCAGGTGCCTTTTAAATGTTGTAATTGTACCCATCTCTACCACTTTCTCTGGCAGCTCATTCCATACATGCACCATGCTCTGTGTGAAAAAGTTGCCCCTTAGGTCCTTTTTAAATCTTTACTCTATCACCTTAAATCTATGCTGTCTAGTTTTGGACTTCAGTACCCTGGGAATAAAGACCTTGGCTATTCACCCTATCCATGACTCTCATGATTTTATAAACCTCTATAAGGTTACCCTTCAGCCTCCAAGAAAAATAGCCCCAGCCTCTCCCTGTAGCTCAAACCCTCCAACCCTGGCAACATCCTTGTAAATGTTTTCTGTATCTTTCAAGTTTAACAACATCTTTCCTATAGCAGGGAGACCAGAATTCAATGCAGTATTCTAAAAGTAGTCTCACCTATGTTCTGTACAGCCACAACATGACCTCCCAACTTCCACAATCAATGTCTCTTGATTACTAAACCAGCAACAATGCCACTATGCCAACAACTCCCCATAGTATCTTGCACATCATCAATTGTCCCAAGGTGCTTCACAGCAGTATTTAGCAAAGAAAATTTGATACTTGAGCCACATGAGGAGATGTCAGGTCAGGTGACAAAAAGTTTGATCAAAGTGCTAGACTTTAAGGAGTGTCTCAAACGTGATAGAGAAGCTGAGAGATTTCGGGAAGGAATTGAAGAACTCTGCTATATTACAGCAAGGTTTCCTCTCACTAGTGAAGGAAGGCAGTGAACGAACTGTGAGACACTTTCCCAACTGGAGTGTTCGATTTCCCAATTGTTCTGTCTTTGATTACAAGAGGCTGGCAACCGATCTATGATCACTACATTTGATTGGTTATGTCTGGGTGTGGACACTGAGCAAAATAAATGAACTCCACAGAAGCTACTGGGGGCTGACCTATAAGCATGAGGGCAGATATTTTGTGATTGTAGAGATCTTTTAAAACTCTTTAAAATAGATAAAACCTGTCGCATATTTAGACATCTCCGCAATGCTCTGAAATATAAAAGATACACAAAACTAGGAAGTTAAATATCCAAATGTTCAGACAGGAATGGTCCATTCACATGGGAGCTTCCTGTTAAAATGCAGAAGAGCTTTTCGGAGCAGTAGCAGTGTCTAAGCTGACACATCACTGCAGGCCCAAGATTATTGGGTTTGTTCAGTGTTTAGGATCAGATCTCAAGGCTGAGAGAGAGCTGAAAGCCATGCTCTTGTACACAGAATAAAACAAAGAACTGCCGATGCTGGAGATCTGAAACAGAAACAGAAATTGTTGGTGAAACTCAGCTGTTCTGAGGAAAGAATTGAAACGTTAAATCTGCTTTCTTCCAAAAGATGCTGCCAGACCTGCTAAGTTTCGCCAGTAATTTCTGTTTTTGTCTCTTGTACGGAGTTGCCGTAGGCCATATAGACACAGACCACTGATTTGTCAAGCACATCATCCACTCAAAACCACATTTGTTCCTAAAATGCATAACTTTCTGTTTAAATGCTAAACACAGCAGACTTCAGTGCTTTGATTATCCATTTACATAAAGGGATCGTTGATGAATGCATTAAACTGCCTAGAGACAGTCTCAATTATGACTCAAATACTTAATAATAACCTTCATCTCCAGAAACATGTTGGTATTGAGTGAACACACAGGAAAGCAAAATAATAAACCACATACACACACATAATTGGAGTCTCAAGGTCAGCCGCTTGCTGGAGAGATTATTGAAAGCTTCAACTGCACATACAGATGTGTGCCAGCCCTCTGCAACAGAACCATAAGAAATCGCCAGACACAATGTTCCAATTAAATTGGCGACAGAGAATCGGTGGAGTCACAATGATGGCTGCCTCAGTATAATCCTGTGCCAGGGAATGGTGCCTCTCTGTTCCAGAGGTTCAGCGGGGACTAACTTCACAGCTTTTATTTTATGGATTCTTTCCTGGGATGTAGGCATTGCTGGCAATGTGGGCATCTGTTCCCTATCTTAATTGCCCTCAAACAGGGCCATTTCAGAGGGCAGTTAACAGGCCAGCACATTGCTGTGCATCTGGAGTCACGTATAGGCCAGACCAGATAAGGATGTCAGATTTCCTTTCTAAAAGGACATTGGTGAGCTTGATGGTTCTTTCACAAAACAGCAAGACCAGGTCATGGTCGGGAGCTGGAGGGGCATATAGGGATGGTAAGCAGTGGGCAGGGAGATTCCATCAAACAATCAGAGCCACATAATCTCATCCGCAACTTTTGATTGCCTAGAGATAGTGGGACAGGTGTAATAGACATAGAAATATAGAAGATAGACCATAAGACCATAATGCATGAGAGCAGAATTAGGCCATTCATTCCATCAAGTCTGCTCCACCATTCAATTATCGCGGATATGTTTCTCAACCCCATTCTCCTGCCTTCTCTCCATAATCCTTGATCCCATTACCAATCAAGAATCCATCTCGTTCTTAAATACAGCCAATGGCTTGGCCTCCACAGCCTTCTGTGTAAATGAGTTTCACAGATTAACCACAGACAATAGGAATAACAGCAGGCCTTTCAGCCCTTCGAGCCTGCTCTGCTACCTAATTTGATCATGGCCAATCGTCCTAACCAGTCCCCTGTTCCTGTTTCCTCCCATTAATCCCTATAGCCCCAAGAACCAAACTTAACTTCTTCTTGAAGACATTAAATGTTTTGGTCTCGCCTGCTTTCTGTGGCAGTGAATTCCAGTCTTTGGGTTAAGAA